AGTGGCTTGCTTCCCCTCCCACGGTATACTATAGTTAAATTTTAGAAAAACAAAATGGCCGTTCAAATTTACCGTTATCTAAAGTCCTTTTTTTCCAAATTTTTGATGTCGTTTTTCTTCTAGACCCCAAACTGTAGAAGCTTGAAATTTTAGGAGCTTTTAGACATTAACAAGTAGTTCATTTCGTTAGAAGAAAATTTTTTTCCATCTCCACCCCCTCTCAAGGTATCGCCTCTTGAAATTTGTAAAATTCTAATTTTTGACACCTTATATTTCTGAAACCGCAAGTTTTTTCAAATTTCTATAAACGCAAAAAGTTAACGGTAAATTCCATGACATTAAAAAATATAATTATTTTTCTTAACTCACACAATTAACCCTTAAAATCGAGCATTATGTTAACCCCTGTTTATATTAAATTTTGCTTTATTTCAAAGACTGCATAAATGGTTCATCCTAAATATATGCAATCCTAGAAATAGTTTCGTTTATAAATGAAAATAATTTTAATAGTGTGGTGGATGTACATAGACTGTTTTTAAAAGCAGTATTTTCACTTGTTGAAGGGAAAAGTGCTACAATACAAACCATTGGTTTGACCCAGCTTTATTATGTTTAAGCTGTGAGTGCATCTTGATTCATTGATCATTGATTAGGCAAGAAAATTAAAAAACCTCAACTCTAAAGGTACAAAGAGCAATTTCTGTTAAATATAAACTAAATTTTACTCTCTTCTGGGTTTTATTTTTCTATATATTTTTCTTATGTTAATCGTTTATTTTATGAAATTTCACTTTATTAATTAAAAACTCTGATTTTTATTGTGTTTGACCTTGGTTTAAATACAATCGCGCAATATTATACTTGTAATCCGATTATTAGAGTTTATAGTGCATTCATAGAAAAGGTTGAATAGCATTTCGAAAACATTATTTGATGCTTTGACAATTTTAACAATTAACAAATAATTTGATTAAAAATCTATGAAATGTGATTTCTTTTTCATGGTTTATTTTTATTCTCCATAAATATAATGCAGAATATTCAAGAGGTTAATGAACTGATTCAAGTCTTTAATACTCGAATTTTATTACAAAAGTAAATTTCAATTGCATACTCAAATGCAATTTAATACTTTTGTATCAAATATTCGAAATTTTATCTTAGTTAATTCTTAACATATTCGGGTTCATATATTATTTAATTTTCCAATTCAAATGAATTTTATAATTGAATATAAATTTTAATAATTACTAGCAGAATTACGCTAGCAGAAACACGCGTCTAATTAGCTGTAGGCGCTAGCTTTTTCGACTTTCAATTATATTATATTGGTATAACAGGGCCAAAATTGAAACAAATTTATTTTTAATTAATATAACTTGTGATTTGACTGATTTTTAAAATTGTTCTTTTGGAAAATATCCCTGTGTTACTCTTAAGAACTCCTCAGAAATTCACGGTGATTCTATTAATAATGTGTTAGCAGCATAAAAGACGAGTAGACAGACAGGCATACATTAATTTTCATACTTATGTATAGAAAAATTGAGAATCTAGGAATGCATTTTATAACAATTAAAAAATTGTGAATGTCAGATACTTGCAATAGCCCAGAAGAATGTATGAAGAACCCATTCAAAATTTCTGATATTTTGAAAATTTTCTAATATTCAAAAGCTTGAATAAAGTTGAACATGAATCACTTTACCTAAAAAGAACCATTTACTTTGATCTTAAATAAGTTGGTTATGTCAAGTAAAGTTATCAAGTAAGTAGAAGTAAGCCTAAAAATTTTCGCATTATGATATTACGATGATTTTGTTCAGGAACATAATATGTGCCCCAAGTAAAATTTTGTACCTCTTTTCATTGCCAAAATAAAATCCAGACCTTTCTTGATTGACTCAGGATTTGATTTCGAGTATGTGTATGTATGTATGTATATATATATCTTAATTAATTCGTAAACTCAAATAAATGCTAATATTTTGGAAATGACATTGTAATAACAAATTGAATATACTTGTATACGCCATCCATCTGTATAATTTGACATTTGAAATGCAAACTAACATTATAAACGACAAGAGTATTTTAATTTGTGCGTTCTTTCGTCTATGAATTAAATTTGTGTACAATGTAGTAAAAGTAAAATAATCTTACATTATTATTAAATAAATTTTGAATAAATTCAATGCATTATTGTTATTTTATTTAAGTTTACTTTTATCTTAATAATTTATTGGTTTTAAATCACATAATAATGTTAAAATTGTTATACGACAAAAAATTAAAAACAAAATGAATTCATAAATTTTATTTTTATTATTTTACTTTGTTTGTCCATTTTTATAATGTAATAATTAACAAATTAACATAAGACATACACAGTGTATTGAATTTCAGCAAAAATATTATTGAACTCATAAACATTATAGAGCTTAGGTTATTTAAAAAATATAAGATGAAAGATCTATTGCAATTTTTTTGCTCTCATTTTATATTTTTAATTTGATTACAAAATAAATTTTTAAGTAAAAAGAAATGTTTTATATATACCTATATATATATATATATATATATCTATATATATATTTATATATATATACTATGGCATTAAAATGTAAATAATGCACAAAAATACGTTTTATGTGTCGCCATCATCCGAAATTCAAAATGACCAAAAATTTATTAGTATTGTAATTTATAAGGAAATAAAAGATGCAAAAACAAAACTATTTTAGTAAAGTGTACATAAAAGTAAATTTGAATGTCATAAAAGATTTATAAGTTCGGATGAAATTGATGGTTTTTAAAGTAGTACACTTCCTTTGAATAAGTAAATAAATAATTTTTTTCTTAAGAATCATTACATTAATAATGTACTAAAATAATTTTGTGCAATTAAAAAATAATTGCATATTTATAGGATGAGAGTAAGAAAATATGGGTTACATAATGTTCCGATTTTACAACTGATTAGTTGAATTAAGACAAATAGCTATTACATTTTTTGGTGAGAGGTTATTTAAATGTAAGTATTTTATTTTTATAGAAATTTGAAAAAGCTTGCAGTTTTGGATATAATGGCAAGCCGAAAATTAAAATTGAAATTATTAAAGAAAATTTGGAGATGCTATAACATATATATTGGAAAAAATTAGAGGTGGACTAAAATTTCAGCTTCTTATCGTAAAGCCTGTAGAAATTTTGTAAACAGACGCATATACAGATGGAAAATAAAAAGCATATTTTTTCCAATTTTGTTCGGAATGTGCTAAAAATTCGTATTTAATTTTAGATGATTTTATAACCTTAATTGAAAATAGAGGGTGAATTTATTGTAAATAAGTAAAATAGAAAAAATTTAAAAACAAAAAATTCATGTGTCATACATGAAAGTAAAACACTTTTTAAGACACTAGCTGTGTTATATAATAATAATTAAATTCAAAATTTAATTCAAAATAAAAAATAAAATTTCAAAATTTTTCTATACTATTAGATGAAAATTTTAATTTATTTTTTCTCTTTTTTTTTTCGATATAGTCGCGCCTAGTATATAAAAGTGAATATTTTTTTGTTTTTAGCATCATTTAACATTTTGAGTTTCAATCAACTCAATCATAGAGGCAAAATTATAAGCAAATTGAACTCATAATGAAGGTAAATTTTTTTCTAAATTCTTCATTTTTCATTTAATTAAAATTTTCAATAATTTTCTTTTTAGATCTCTTTAGCTACAATATTTATTTTATACTGTACAATAACAATTTGTAATGCTGGAATATATAATAATCCACATATAGATTATGGATATGGATATAATCATCATCATGTTCATCCTCCAAAAATCTTAAAAGTTGTTCATATACATCCACATCATCATCATCATATTCATCAACCAGAAATACATAAAATTGTTAAAGTAGTACATAAAGTAATACCGCCACCATTACCACCACCACCACAAATTATTAAAGTGATTCATAAGGAACATGTTCATGTACCTTATCATCATCCAATACCACCACCACCACCCCAAATTATAAAAGTAATTAAAGAGCATGTTCATCCAATACATCATTCTCCACCAGTTATTGTTAAAGTTCTTCATGAAAATCATGGTTGGATACCATCTAGTGGTTGGGCTCAACCAGGATGGGCACCACCTGGTGGATGGGTTAAATAAAATTGCTATACTGTTCATACTAAATGTTTTAGGTTTTTATATGATTAAATTTTATAGTTATTTTTATAAAATTCTATATAGCTAGTTAAAATAAAATAAAATGTACAATATAAATTTCTTATTTTATAATAAAATAAATGAAAATTTAAAGAGAAACGAAGATTAAAGTTTTTGTATAAGTAATTTATTTAATTTGAAGAATTTTAACAAGAAAAACCTGTGATTTATTCCATGCATTCTGCATTGCCAAATTTATTATCCATTAACTAGGATTTGTGAAATATCGAGATTTTCAATTGCTGGTCAATAGTAATTAAACATTTAGACAACTTAGAGGAAGGAACCATTTTATTTCAATTAATTGATGCAAACTAGTTTTTCATTTTAAGAACAAGGTTAAAAATTATAATGGCCATGTTAAATTAATCGCATAATTCACTATACTTCAGCAAAAAAAAGTGAACCAACTTCAAATGAAAAATAAATTACATATGACGTATAACATTTATCATGTTAGAATAGTACTGTCTATATTATTAAAATAAAATATATAAAAACAACACTAATTAACATTTTATTCATTAGTAAAATTTTGGTATAATTTTAATAAAATAAAACTTCAAGAATTGAATCAAATTGAATTTAAATACGTCATCATATTACCAGAATCGTGTAATCATGTTATGAGACTAATAGGCACGCACCATGTAATTCAAACTTTAATCTTTTTTGAACAGCTATGCAAAAATTATACAATCGCATACTAAATCAATTAAAAAATTTTGTTTATTCATCCATATTTGGTCTATTTTAAACCCAATAAAACACCTACATCTAAATTTAGTTTAATAGTTACACATTTTTATTGTTATGTAGACGTAATCAGTGCACATATCAGACTTAATAGGCAATTTTTATTGAATTTTATAAAAAAATATCTCGGTGGTTGTGAGAAAAAACTGACTAAATTCAAAATTTAGATTTGATTTAAAGGAATTTTAGATTGAAAGCATTTTTAAGCTTTTATGCATTCTTCAGAATTGATTGAGACAACTATATGCAGACAAAATATATGGACGAGACTTTATTGAAATTGTCTTCCATTAAATTTGAATTATTTTTTTAAAAGTTATATAGGAAATAAAAAACAGAATTTCAACAAAATTAAGAGAATCACTTTGAAAGTTTCTCTTTTTTAAAGATAGAGATTTTGAACTAACAGCAAAATTTGGAATAATTACTAAATATTTCACTTACGCATTTTTATTTTGTAACCACAGACTATGTTTTTCGAATATATTTTGTATTGTAGTTTTAATACAATGAAACATACAAACAAATATTTTAATTTTTTTAATTTAATATGCAAAGGTAGAGTGTGTGCCATTTCTTTTGTTTTGGTTTTTGGGCATCTTTTGTAATTATTTATAACATTCGATTTTGTATCGATAATTAATTAATTGATAAAAAAATTAAAATTCCAATATAAAAATTATGTTATACTAAATGTTGTTTATTTAAATTTTGCTTAATTCAGGTAGCAACAATATTAGATTTTTTCTTTTGCCATTGAAAGTTTTTTTAGGTGATTGTTTATCACATAATCAATGTTTTCGTATATAATCATTAAATGAGTCACTTATCGTTTTTTTAGTTTTAATTATGCAACAACATATCTACTATTTTGAATTTTTCCAATATAAAATTTTAAAAATGTTTTAGTCAATGATTATGCTGTGTTACTTATGGCATATTAAATATAATAATTGTATATAAAAAATTTATTAGAGGTAGTATATCTCTCTCAAATGGAAAAGAGCTTTGAATTGACGTTCTTCTTTTGTAGCAAATATTCGTTGAACATATAATGTTCGATTACAGTTTTGGTTTGTGAGATTCTCTTTGGGAGTGTAGATTTTTATCCTACCGGATACGTCATGTGGTTTAATTTTAATATACTTGATATTAATAATAATAATAATATTAACAATGTCTCATACATCAGTTCTATTTGAGAACTGAGCTTTATGATCAAATATTTATAATAAAAGTATGATGAGAAAAGATCACTTCAATACATGTCGAACATATTTGATAATAAGATCTAAATTTGAAGTTAATTATCTAAATATACCCGCAAATAAATTATCAAGTTAAAATATTTCTAATGAAACTGTTTAATTCTATTTTGTACAAAATTAGTCTCACCCTATATCTCACATGTTCAGTCACATTTTTTTTTATATTTGAAAGTCTCTGATTCATTTCACGTTCAGGAATTCAAACTTCGACTTACTTTAAATTTATAGTAAGAATATCGACTAACTCACGCGTTCTCTGCTCAATTTATTTGAAGGCGATTTTCATTATTTACGTGAAAATAAATAAGAACACTCATAAAACAAGTACAAAATTAAATATTTACTAAATTAAACAGAAATAATTTATGAAATCATTTTAATACTTCTTTTACCAGGCAATTATGTTTTTACAAACAATTTTCTAAAATCTGTATTCTCCAATGTACAAAAAAATGTTGCATAAATTTAGGAAAAAAAAAAATAACTCTATTTTAAAACACAATACAATGCAAAAAATTAATATGGAAAATTAATTTAAAAAATCACAATTTGCGAAGCTCAACTTGAGGCGGTTGTTTTCAAAAAGTATGAAAAATTTAAAATAATAGAATGAAAGCTTTAATTTTGAATTGAAAAATTTAGTTAAAGTATAATTTTTTCCAATTATCAAAATTGTATTTGTAATTTCATTTTAAATAGCAATTATTTATTCTTTCGCATTCAATTGAATAAATGGAAGCATTACTGTGATCTAGATCTTCATTTGATAAATTATTTTCATTATCAATATTTGAGCATTCTAAAGATTTTTTTATATCTTCATCATCCAAAGAATTACCATACAAATTGTCTTCAGAATCTGGATAATCATTTTTATAATAATTTTCACAATTAGAATCATCTGAATCAAGTTTTTCAGGAGTTCCCCATGTGTTCTCATAAACTAGTTCATCAATTATTTCATTACTTCTATTACAGTTGTTAATGTTATCGAAATTGTTGGGATTTTCATTATTTTCTTGTAACAGATCTTCAAAGATTAAATCATCAATTAGCTTAATACTTACGTTGTAATTATCGATATGCTCAAAGGGCATTTGTTCATCATTTTTTGATAAATAAAAGTCATATACATAAGGTAGTAATTTATTCCCTGAATTAATGAAATTTGTTGAAGAGCTTGATGTGTCCAATTTGTTTTCATTGAGTTGACTGTTAGACGTCATTTCCACATCAATTACTGTAATTTCTTTTTGATCATTATTTTTATTGTTTAAATCTTTAATAACATGGTAGCATTTTACAATATTAAAATTATTTTCATTTTCCTGATATTTTACATTCTGTTCGATTTCAATTCTTTGATTTGAACGCTTCTTGTCAATTATTTTGGTATGGTCTTTTGTTATTCGTGACACAATTGATTCATCTTTATATTCTTCAGTACCTATGAATTCAAATATTATAGATATTTCGTCGGTAGTTTCATTTGAATCTCCAATATTAGAGTGTACAAGATTTTCTAATTTGCGTCTTTTGAAATTTAATAATAGTGCTGAAAATGATTTATCATTGACACATCGTTTTACACATAATATTGTTGACATTCCTGATTTATATACAGTGAAAAAATGTGAGTTCAAAAACTTTAATACTGCTAAATTACAAGACTGAATAAATTTAATTCGGAAAATAAGGATTTTTATAAATTTGAAATTTGTAAATTTTTTTTTTAAATAATTTCATTGTGACCTACTACATACATAAAAATTAATAAAAAATTTAATGAAAAATTATTATTCTTTTAAGATAATTATAGTTGGCAATCTTATTTTAAGTACAAATTAAGTTTTTATTTTGTTATCGATTGAATTTTGATTTGTTTTTTGACTGGTTTTTCTTAAAAAATTTAATAATGTTATTATTTTTTGTCTAGCAAATCTGTATAATAGTCATAGAGAAGCATACACAATGGTATAATAAAAAAAAACTAGAAGTTTTACTATTTTTTCAGTTATTATAACAATTATAACGTAGGCTCGATCGTATTTTTACTTGATGACCGTATAGTCAAGTATAATTTTTAGTATAACTCATTAATTGACTAAAATAGTTTAAGTATAGCACTGAAGTAAAAAATAAAATTAATATTACAATTTTTTGAGAATATTGCTAAATACTTAAATTTAATGCCTTGGCTATATATCTCATATTATACGTGGGTTATATATCTGCCCAATGTTGTAGGCTTTTCAAACTGACTGATTAATTTTGTATTACACTCTTGTAAAATATACTGCAAAATATTTTACTTAAAAGATTTCATTATTCCCAACACAATACAGAACTTTTATATGAAGGATAATTAATTTCTCGCTATATATAGTTGAATCTGCCAATGCTCCTCACTAAATGCATACTTCGGAGCTAACTCCGAAATCATACATTAAATATTGTTAAATAGTAAATTTTTCGGACCATGTTCTTTTTCCCAGTTAGCGATTTTTTCCTTAAAACCACAAAATTATGTCTATATTTAAAATGTTCGAAATTGTATACAAGTCTATTAAAAATCATGTGTTTTTGGGAGTAGGTTCGTTAAATTTTATCAGTATTTGAATTATAAATAAATAAAAAAGTATTTTACTGAATTGCACAGATTAATTTTTCTCTGTGTATTAATTGTTTTAGAATTCATTCAAAAAACGAAACAAATTTTCAAGGCTAATTAAAGATGAAGATGCAAACACTTTTTTTTTTTAAGTTTTTGTTTACTTTTGTGCAAAAACTATGTTTAACTGAGGAATTAATATAAAAATTAATTCTTGTTATATTATGAGAAATGATAATTCTTTTAAAGAATTTTATAATAAATTTTTTGTCTTCCATATAAATACAAATTCTATGAAAATTTTAACTTTAGTTTTAATTTTACAATTCCTTGAAAAAGTAGTTCTTGAAATGAAGGTAAGAATATTTTTTAATAAATTTTTAATTTGAAATAATGTTAACAATATTTTTGTTTTAGGCTTTTATTTGTTTATTGTTAACGATAGCTGCTGCTAATGCCGGTTTTCTAGGAGGCGGAGGTGCAGGTCATGGTGGAGGTCATGCTATAGGCCATGGTGGAGGCCATGGTGGAGGCCACGGAGGAGGTTTCGCAGGAGGACATGGTGGTGGTCATGGCGGTGGATTTGTTGGAGGTCATGGTGGAGATGGAATAGACATTATACCGATTGTTGCTGCTTTAGTTGCCACTCAAGGACATGGTGGACATGGTGGTGGATTTGCTGCTGGTGGTCATGGTGGTGGATTTGGAGCTGGTGGACATAGTGGTGGATTTGCTACCGGTGGTCATGGTGGTGGATTTGGAGCTGGCGGACATGGTGGACATGGCGGTGGATTTGCTGCCGGTGGTCATGGTGGTGGATTTGGAGCCGGTGGCCATGGGCACGCTGGACATAGTAGTGGATTCGCTGCCGGTGGTCATGGTGGTGGATTTGGAGCCGGCGGTCATGGAGGTGGTTTTGCTGGAGGACACGGTCATGGTCATGGTGGTGGCGATTTAGATGTTGGTTTACTTGCTGCTATTCTTACTTCAGTTGGTGGTTCTCATGGTGGTGGACATGGTGGAGGACATGGACATGCTGGTGGACATGGACATGCTGGTGGACATGGACATGCTGGTCATGTTGCTCATGGTTCATCTGGTGGTGGCTATGCCTATGGAGGTGGAAATGGGGGCTGGGGAAAATAAATTTTTGTTTTAGAAATCAATAATATTTTAAAGCATAAATAATGCAAATAATTCTAGTAAATTTATTTTGTAAATATAATTGTGAGTTAAGACTATAATTTTAATTTTTATTGTTATAGAAGTTAGAACTAAAAAATTATATAAGAATACCAAAAATAAAAAAACAAAAATTAAAATATATTAAGATGGAATTTTTTTTTAAATTCGTATTGGCATTAGAACAGGAAGGCGAAAAAAACTTAACTAGAATTTGTTTATTTTTTTTTCTAAATTTTAATCTGCTTTAATTATTACCAACATTTTCATAACGAGATTTGAAAATCATTTTTATTTTTATAATATTGAATAAATTTATATGTAATTGACAATGTATTGGCTATTGTTAAAAATATATATATATGAATGTATGTATATACATTTGTACTATAGAAATTTACATACAAACAATTACCGTTTAGCATCAGCTATTTTAACGAAATATTTTACCATTGTTTATTTTGAAATTATCGCGATTGTAAAAATATTGCATAAATATAGGATGAGCTAAAGAAATAAAGCTTTTATTTCAAATGAACTTTACTATTAATAATATTGTTATAATTATTTTAAATTCAATTTATAATTAGTATAACAGTTTATTAATGGTATTTTCTAAAAAAAAAATTTTGTTGCTAATTTAAAAGTTCTATTATTGTATTTAAATGTTGTAATTGTACCTATTTTATGGCTAAGAGAACCTATTTCAAGAAAGTCTAAATTACTTTGTGTGAAATTTAAAAACAGTATACAAAATAAGGAAATGTATACCGATTGCTCCTCCTGTTATATGGTGATTTGATTATTTCATTTGTAATAAATACTGGCCATACGAATATAGTTAATGCAGTATTTTGTGTACTTGTTCTTCTTAACGGAAAGCTTTATTCATACATTTAAATTATTTTAAAAGTCTTAGTTTTAATATCTGAGGAACAACTTTCTTATAATTTAATTGTTTTTATCAAATAGTTATGTGCTCTGAATTTCTCTTTCAGTATTTAAATAGCAACATTTTAATTTTAATTACACATTTTATTTAATATTCCTTTTAACACTAGCAAATTAAGAAAAATAAATTTAAAATACTTTTATTTATTATGATTATTTCATGGAATATTATAAATGATAATGCTTAGATGCTTTATATGAAAAATATATTAGATAAATGTAAATAGTATTAAATAATTTATTTGTAAGATTTTTGTTGCAGCATTATAAATTGTACGAGCTCAATTTTCAAATATGAATTTATGCAATTGTCGTCTTTCGATAACGAAACGTTATTGATCGGCAACGTCATATGACGTTTTTCGATAAGCTAATGTAATTAGCGAAGGATTATACGTTCAAATTGTGGTTACTGTTTACCATTTGTATTCGTTATATTTACAATTGAAACTGTAAATGTATTATTGAAAAGTTCTCAGATTATGGAATGCTAGAGAATGGGTAAATGACCATTCTGCTGAATGTAGTCATGCAACTGATTCATCCTCCTCTGCTACTAAAAAAACCTCTCAGCAAGATCCTCCTTGCCGACTAAGCGGTAAAATAAATGAACATATCCTAGACAAAATAATTGGAGTAAAAAAAAGGGCCTACAGGAGGTGCAAAGTCTGCTCCTCCAAAGGATTACGCAGTGAAACTAGGTTCACTTGTAATCAGTGTGACGTTCCCCTCCACCCAGGTGCTTGCTTCACAGCCTATCATACTCTTAAAAAATATTAAAACATGTAATTTAATACAATGTGTGTAAAGTTCCTTATAAATATATTATGCAATAAAAAAGTTTCTAATAAATATATTATGTAAAAAAGTGTTGAGAATTTTCAATTTTTCCCAAAAATCGCCGGACACACGCGTTAGTTCTTATAAAAAACACCCGGTCAACAATCTGTTAAGACAATGCCGTCATTCTCAAAATTTTAAAGATTTTTTCAATATTTCTTCTGAAAGTGCTTTTGAGAAAACAAAAGATTTTTGAAAAACATCAGCAAATATAATAGTAGAGGGTGTTGTTATAGAAAGATTTCAAAGATTTCTACCATTTTTTTTTTTTTCAAAATTATTATTGGATATTAACCCAAACAAGGAACAACGCAGATGTCATTTGATGTCTTATGTAATTGGAAAAAAATATTGTAACTCTTGTTGGTGGACTTTATTTGCAAATTAACTGGGCAGGAAACAATAAAATAAATGTAATTATAAATGCCTTGTATATATATGTATGAATATGTTTTTTTTTCAATAATATTGTGTAAAATATGCAAATTTTAACTAGTTGCAATTGATTATTTGATTAAGGAGCTTATAATTTATATATTTATGTAATTTCATTTTAAGTATCAATATTGTTACAATTTTCATAACTCAATTTAAAACAAAAAACCAACAAAATAATAAAAACATGACACACTCTTTACATATTATAATTTATGTCAAAATTTAATTATATGTTAATATAAATAACTACTGACCATAAATTCCCTAATTAATTCAAATACTAAAAATAAAATGTTATTCGAAGTTATCAATAAAATTAAACAAATAATTTTATCAAATATTTACTTTTATATTTTATTTTTCTTTTATATCTAAAAAAATTCAAGTATTTGTTAACACTGTTATAAATATTAGGCATTTAAAAAATTAATGGTAATCAAAAACGTAAAACCTAATTTCTATAAAAATAATAAAATTTTTTTTATAAATTATTCAAAGTTTTGCCAAAACTTGTAAATTTTTTTTTTTTTTGCTTTATTTTGTTTTATTGCACAAATTTAATAGTGTTAAAAAATATTTAAGAGCAGAATTATTTTGCATAATCTACTTGAATAAAATTAATATTAAATTGGGATATTTGTGACAATGTTGTAAAACACACTGTTGATTTGTTGCATATAGTAAATATGCAATTAATTTTTGTATATCGATTGCAAGATATTGTGATTTCAAAATTTTTAATTAATTAAAAATTTTAAGTTTTGAAAATAAAAATTTAGATTAGTTAAAATATTACATATATATATTTTTTTAAAATCAAATTAACAATATTCATACGGCGGACTATGACAATTCGCAATAAATTTTTTTTACAACAATAGAAAAAAACAAAAGTTTGCCGACGGTTATTGTAAGGCATAGCATTCTAAAATATGAGTTGGGCAAGAAACTTTTGTTCCAGTATTTTCAATGACAAGTATTCTACAAAAGATTTAATCGAATGTCAAATGCAAATTATCAAAGACTTGTCAACAAACAACTAATTTTACTGTTGATCATTTAATGGTAATGATCGTGACAATTTAGTTAACTCAAAAACAATGATTAATTATGGGATATAAGCTATTTGAAACTATATAAAATTGTAGACATATTATGTACATTCATTTGACCGTTCTTAAATGGGATGATCACCAAAAATAGTAGCACAAAATTATTTGACTAAGTATGGGCTATAATGTCAGAAAATTTAACCAGAGCCGGTTGTGTATATCTATATACTACATTTCTGATATAAGGTATAAAAAATTACCGAATCGGTAATTTTAATAGATGAATGAAATTGTGTCTCAGAAAACAATTGAACATTTTTTTCCGATTTTGAATGAATTTTTAAAATGAATGACATTGTAAAAAAATTACATTTATGTATTTAAGTAATCCAAAGATAAAGAACTTTTAATTTTAATCGTTTTAATCTTGAAAAATTTTTATTTTTACATTGATTTAAAAAACATTAACATAACAATATATTTTTCTTCTTAGGTCCAAATCCGAAAAAATTGGTTTACAATAATTTTCAATCTTAATTTGAAATAAAAATTAAAAATCTTTAAAATGATTTAAATTTTAATTATTTAAGCAATGTTTCTTTTTCTTTACTTGCTATATCATGTTATACACTTGTATAAATGTATATAATATATGGATGAAGTATAATACTACAACAATATACGGCTAATTTATGCGTATATTGCCATTTAAATTAGCCAAAGGCAATACTGATATACATCAAAATTATATTATTATAAATATTTAATTATTTCCCTTAGGTTTGTAACCCAAATTCAATTTTTCTCACAATATTATTAAAAATAACTACCAACTACATAATATATACTATTACACTACACATACACATATACTTATACTCTTATATTATGTATATGAATGAGTATAAAAATAATAAATAAATTTAGATATTTAAATAAAATCTGAATAAAATTATCATCAAATTAAATTTAAAATGTGTAAACAAAATGGTTTTTTTTTCCTTTTTTATAATTTAATTATAGAAGCTACAATATTGCAATATTATAATCGATACTATTATAAAAATGTTATAAAATAAAAGTAATACGAGCATAATTATGGGCACTGCCGTAGTATGTTGACCTTTTCTTTTTTTAGAAAAAAAAAACAAAAATAAACTGATGTGGACAGCATTTAAACGACCGCCATTGTATATTTCCCAAATGATCAAGCAGTAGTATTTACGATAAGTGAAAATGTTTTGTATAAAATTATTACAAACCACATTGGTGAACTGAGGTTTCTTCTTGTATGAACCATTGCTTTTTCTTGGGCGCCCACGTTTTCTATGACCATCCTGGGTTCTATTAAATGCTATCTTTACCATTCTTTCCTGTGGCATACGAATCACATATCCCAGCCACCTGTTTATTTCGACTTTTACAAATCTAATGACACTTTCGTTTCCTATTGGATTCGCAAGCTCGTTGTTATATCTTATTCGATAGATATTGTCGGCGACATTGTGTACAGAATCATATATTTTTCTGAATATTTTATGTTCGAAGCTCAAAAGTTTGTTAATTTCCGCCTTCTTTAAAGTCCAAGTTTCACAGCTATCTGTTAAAACTGGTCTTACCAATGTTTTGTACATATGTAATTTTTACTTGCTGGAGAGCAATTTGGATTTGAAAAGTTTTATG